CACCAAAGAGTATCGAACCTTGAATGGAACACCCGCTGGGGGACAATCAGCCCTTCATGTGAGGTTCTAATTTCCTCGTGCTGTACTTGAATTTGCAACACTAATTAATTTGATTTTTTCTTTTTCTTCTGTTGTCAAAGATTCAAATTAAAATACCCAAATTCAATAATAATAATAATGAAAGGGACTACAATTATATGACAATTGTATCCCACCAAACAGGTGATAATCTACCAAAGTAAGAACATCGGAAACGAGCTATTTGCTTGCCAAAATTCTTTTTTTTTTTTTTTTCATTACCAACGTGTTGAGAGCAACTTGTCACGGGGTGAGACTAGCTCCGATGGCACTTGTCTCGAAGGCGGAATCTAACTTGACCTCATACGGCACTTAGCTCGAAATTAACCCTGTAAACCTAAACCAAATCAGCCTTCCCCAATGTTTGGTGTGGCCCTCTAACTGGGCTCGAGGTTAGCGACACAAATACGAAGGTAGGAAGTTGGGAGAAGAAGAGAATTTATTATGATCGCAAGGGAGTGTACAAGAGCATGAGTACAAAGCCCATCTCTGCACTCACTCACCTAGCAGCTCACTCTCTATGGCATGCCCCTCTTCTATTAGCCCTCCCTATTTATAGAAGAGGTCTGGCCCAAGTCCCTCTACAGATGAGGTCTCTAGAACACTCCACAAATTTCCCTCATATTAACAATTTCCAAAAGCTTCTCCACTCTCCCTCATAGCCTAAGCTTACATTATTCTAGAACTTTCTATTCTAGAATTATGTACAAGACCCTAGGAGTTTTCCAGGTTGGGCTTGGCCCATTAAGCCCATCTAGACCCCTGTCTGGAACCATCTCTGCGCACCCAGCAACTTCTAGAATTTTTTGGGCCGCTCCTGCATGCTCCAACATGTCTCAACCGTGACCTCATGCCACGACCTTGGCATGGACGCTGCCAACTCATGTCGAGCCCGCCTCTTGGGCATTCCATGTCGCACTCGTGCTCGCGTCTGTGCTCGTGCTCGCGCGCCTATGTGCCTCGAGCCATACTGCACCCATGCGTGCCAACGCCTCGACCCAGCTTGCCCGTGCGTGCCCCTGTGTCTCGGGCCAAGACACTCTCACGCGCACACGCACGTCACCCCCGACTGCTCATGCACGTTCTCACGTGTCCTGCCCGCAACTTCACGCCACGGCCCCGATATTGACGCCTCCGCTGGCAAGGCCCGCTGCGTCTTGCACGATCCAGCTCTGCACTTCAACCCTCATATGCGTAAGTGTCGTAATCGCAACCCCGTGTCGCAACACCAACACCCGCATCTCGCATGCCCAGTCCACGCTTCCGATCGCGCTTCCGCTTGCGCCCGTGCTCGTGCTCGTGCTCGCGCCTGCCCTCATGTCCACGCTCGCACTCCGCGACGCTGCATGGCATGTCCCCTGGATGCTGCACACACCCTCTATGTACCTGTCGCTGCAGCTCCGTGCCATGATGCCCTCAACTTCGGCCCTCGAACTCGCGTGCCATGACACTCTCCCCCACCAAAGCCCTTGACGCCCTCATCAAGGCGCCTCGCATCGAGTGCCTCGATCCCTCCCGCAAGTTGCCGCAAGTCTCTGTTGCATCCACGTCATGCTGTTGCCTTGAGTCGCCCGCGTCCTGTGCCACGTCCCTGGACTCTTCAAGCTTGGGTTCTCCCGTGTGGCCGAACTCCTCACGCTTGGCGGCATTGCTCCCTTGCCTCTGCCGCAAGTTGTGTGAGATCGACGCCACGTCCTCTGCCTCCACAGGCTCGGACTTCCCCATGTGGTTGACCTCCCCTCTATTGCTGAAGTCCTCACCAGCCCTGATGATGGCATTGAGCGCGTCCTGCCGTGGACATTCCCTCGTCCAGTGTGGCCCTCCACACAAGAAGCACCCCTGCTTCCTCTTGGGCCACTCACCGCTGCCATCCCTTGTGGCTTCCATGCCCCCGCATGGACTAGAGGTTCTGCGTGACTTGTCTCGCCCACCGTTGCGTGCAAAGCACCCTTTAAGCTCTTCCACAGCCCTGCCCATGTTAGCCATGAAAGAATTGAAGGCACCTTCAAGCTTACCTTCAAGTGGCTCGATCGTGCCACCCCCATCCTCCTCGGAGTCCAAAGTGACATGCTGCTCCTGGACGTCCCGCGTAGCCAAGCCCCTCTTGGCCAGCCTTCCCTCAAAGGCTGTCATGACGTCCTGTGACGTTGGTGACACTGCCCTCGACCTTTTCTTCCGTCTCGCGTCCCCACGCGTCCCCACGCGTCTCCCGTCCACCTCGTTCCTCCTCCAGAACGTCGCTTGCCTCCACACCTTTGCTTGCCATGGTCACGATTTCCCGCTCGTAACTTAGCTCCCACCAGGCTCGAACCACGTCTCTCACCAGGCTCAAACCGCGTCTGTAACAGGCTTCGAACCGCGCTCTGGTGCAACTTCGAACCATGCTTGATGCAGCTTCGAAGCAGGCTCTGATATAGTCTTCGAGCTGGCTCTGATACCACCTTGTCACAGGGTGAGACTAGCTCTGATGGCACTTGTCTTGGAGCCGAAATCTAGCTCAACCTCGTGCAACACTTAACTCGGAATTAACCCCGTAAACCCGAACCAAGTCAGCCTTCCCCAATGTTTGGCGTGGCCCTCTAACTGGGCTCGAGGTTAGCAACAAAAATATGAAGGTAGGAAATTGGGAGAAGAAGAGAATTTATTATGATTGCAAGGGAGTGTACAAGAGCATGAGTACAAAGCCCCTTTCTACACTCACTCACCTAGCAGCTCACTCTCTATGGCCTACCCTTCTTCTATTAGCCCTCCCTATTTATAGAAGAGGTCTGGCCCAAGTCCCTCTGCAAATGAGGTCTCTAGAACACTCCACAAATTTCCCTCAAATTTACAATTTCCAGAAGCTTCTCCACTCTCTCTCCTAACCTAAGCCTACATTATTCTAGAACCTCCTATTCTAGAATTATGTACAAGGCCCTAGGAGTTTCCCAGGTTGGGCTTGGCCCATTAAACCCATACAGACCCCTGTTTGGAACCATCTCTGCGCACCCAGTACCTTCTAGAATTTTCTGGGCCGCTCCTGCACGCTCCAGCGTGTCTCAACTGTGACCCCTTGCCACGATCTTGGCATGGATGCTGCCAACTCATGCTGTGCCCGCCTCTTGGGTGTTCCATGTCGAGCTCGTGCCCATGTCAGTGCTCGTGCTCGCGCGCACGTGTGCCTCGAGCCATACCGCACCCATGCGTGCCAGTGCCTCGACCTAGCTTGCCTGTGCGTGCCCCCATGTCTCGAGCCAAGACACTCCCACGCGCACACGCACGTCGCCCCCGATTGCTCACGCACATTCTCACGCGTCCTGTCCGCAACTTCACGCCACAGCCCCAGTATCGACGCCTCCGTTGGCAAGGCCCCTTGCGTCTTGCACGATCCACCTTGCGCCTCAGCCCTCATATGCATTAGTGTCGTAATCGCAACCTCGTGTCGCGACACCGACACCCACGTCCCACATGCCTGCATCCACACTTTCGATCGCGCTTCCGCTTGTGCCCGTGCTCATGCACGCGCCTGCCCTCATGTCCGCGCTCGCACTTCACGACGCTACATGGCATGTCCCCTGGACGCTGCACACACCCTCTATGTGCCTGTGGCTGCAGCTCCGTGCCATAATGCCCTCGGCTTCGGCCCCCGAACTCGCGTGCCATGACAAACTGCTCTTATTATACATAACAATTCATACCCTCTTTTCTCATCTATATACAAATTACAAACCCAGTAAGGTAGAGTTTTCTCCAATTTCCCTCAATTATTGGGATCCCAACAGCTCAAGTACATGACTGTCCTCAGAGACTCTTCAGATTGCTTTGCTTTCTCTTCTCTCAATTGATTCCGAACAGCAGCAGAAGACTGA